GACGTTTGTCTTCCCAAGTAACCATTCCGCGTGATGGAGCCCTGCTTTCCTGGAGATGGCTGAACACCTGCCTGCCGATTGGAAGTAGTGAATTAATTCCTTGTTTTGCTTTTCTTGTGCATGCGGCTTTTGCTTTACCTATTAAACTGTCTTTATCTCAACCCATGAGATGGGGTTAAACCGCGACATTGACTTCTTGCACATCAGGACTGTGAGCTCTTGCGCCCTAAGAAAAATGTCTTTAAATATGACCCAGATCTCGTTCGCTCCTTTATCACTTAGGGCAGTTTCCCAAGGGATCCCATGCACTAGCACCCTAAACAGCCAAAAGTTTGCCTTTCTGAGGCTTAGGGTCCTGACTCTACTTTTTACCTGCCCTATACCCCTCAAGATTGAGAATTCTACCAGGGCATGATCGCTGCAGCAGGTACGAAACTGTTAAGAGTGTTGGTTCCCTGTCGGCCAGAGCTGTCACCGAGATTCGTTGCTAGGAAAAAAAAGGGCTTTGAGAGAAAGAGGAGAAGCCGCCCAGACTGTGCTGCAGACAGGAGCACCCGGCAAGGTGAGAGCACGCTGCTCCACCCAAAGCAGAGATCATCACAGCAAGCAGAAAGCCCACCTGTGCCACGCACAGAGGTTTAGGCTGCCATTGCAAAAAGCCCCAGCTGAAATGCTGTCATGTGTTTGATAAGGCTGTGCTGTAAACTGGAGCAGGGAACAGGCTCAAGTGTTTATGTTTCTGAGCAGTGTTTCTTCCTTTTTTCAGGATGTGTCTCTAAAGTCAGACCCATTCCCAGCTCAGGTTTTTAGTGGTGCCCCAACAGCTGCTGTAGGAGAGGGACCTGCCTGGGGAACAAGGAGGTGAAGGAGGGCTTGAGGCTGGAGCACCACAGCATGGCTAAATGTGGTGCTAAACAGTGGGATGGATGCTTTCCTTGTATGACTTGGTCTTACATGTTTTGCACTTCGAGTGACTGTGTTTTGTTCTGCAGAAAGTCTGGGCAGGCTGAGGCGAATCAGTCACTTTAGCATGTCCTCAGGCCCCAGCCCTGGCTGGACCTGCTAACACCATCCCAGTTGATACACAAGGGGTTGTAACACAGGACCTGGGTGGAAATGGGGAAGCTGAGCTCCTAAAGCCTATGGCACAACACCAAAGAGGAGCCCCGAGTCCTCAGGGAGGAGCCAGTTCAGCCAGCAGCCAAGGAGGCAGGTGAAAGGCAGAGTAAAGAGGCTACTTGGAAATTAGCAGTAAATGCTTCTTAACTTCTATTGTGCCCTAGTTTAGCCGTGTTTTTCTCTGTTCTTTTCACCTCTTCCACTTTCTCTTTTTTCTTTTTACCTTCCTTTCTTTGTCTCTTCCCATTTCATCTTTGTTTTACTTCATTTTCTCAATCTGCCTTGTGCCTCCCCTGCAGCCTATCTGATGTCCTGCTCCCCCTCCTCGCTCCCACACAGCAGCTCCCTGCACAGGGATTCCCTTTACCTTGTAACTCCTTCTGGCCCACAGCCTGCAAGCCCTTCTGAATTTGTTTCTCACATACCTTCCCATTTTAGCACACACACATTCTTCAAAGTCTCTTCAGATTTATGAGCTTTTTGACAATGCAACAGCAGGAGAGGTCCCGTACCACACCCAAGCCCCTGACAGCAGTCCCACCAGAACTTCCTTTTCCCGGTGATCAGGGCTGTTGCCCACTCAGACAGAAGCGGTAGGCTCAGCAGCTGGAAGCCAGATGAAAAGATAATTATTCTTACATTTTCCTGACTCCTAAAATCGAAGCATGAGCTTTAATTAGGGCATTTTCTGAGACGAATGTGTCGGCAAAAGCTTTTCTTGCTTTTCATAAATACACCAAATACAGAAACAATCATTTTCTATTACAATTATATTTACTCCAACAGTGATCTGAACAGCAGCAACTTTAGGCACGGCCAAACTCCTCCCAACAGTCTGTGTACTAGAGTAAGCTGAGCAAGTGTCTCACCCACACTTGACCCAACCACAGGAGATGCTGGAGGCCTCCAGTGAACTGAAACCTGGAAGTGGTGATTCTGTTCTAAACCAGGAACTTCCAGCGGGTAGTGCATCTTCTCTTGCTGTGCAGCAATCATGCCAAGCAAGGTGTATGTCAGCTAAACACCTGTGCTGGCAACAGTTTCTGTTCAATCTTGTCATGGCAAAACAAGTGAACTATCAGCTTTAGAACTAATTGTGCATTTCATTTTAGGGTACAATATCACAATTACATTTATCCTCCATGCTTCGACAGTTTCTCCAAATGAAGTTTAGGATCTTTTGCTCCCTGTGCATCATAACAATATTTACAGGGAAGGGTAGAGCTAGACAGTTTCTTGGAGAAGCTTGTTGTAAGCCAGGGTATTGCTTGTAGCTATTGCATTTTTCAGGCACTGCCAGAAGTAGGGCTGAGATCGAGGGTTAGTTGGCCATTCCAGGACAGAACTTCTACACAGCCTTTTCCTCAGCCGGACATACCGGGACTTCTGCAAAACCTTCTCAAGAAATATCAAGATAATGACATCCATTTTTTCATCAAGAAGCCGCTGGTGGGCCATGTAAAATATTGTCTTGAAGCTGCCGCTTTTAATATACTTGTTGGTTAGCACAAATATGGTCTTTTTGCTCAGCTGAATGCTCTGGGAAAGGTTGTCAAAGACTGGCTGTCCTGGGAGCCAGTCCCTTTCTTCCAGGCATAAATTGAACTGTCTGGCTTTTTGATCTTCCAGCCTTTCAACCAGTTCTGTCAGCACCCACTCATTCACAGCCGGATCTTTATTGTCATAGGCAATAAAAGCATCGTAGCAAGCATCTGGTAAAGATAAACGCCGATAGCCCTTCAACTTGGCAGTGCAGTAATGGTAACTATACCACACATCCCAGAAATAGAGATGGCTCGTCACTGTGAACACCATAAAGCCTAGGACTGTTGAAGTTGACAGAGCATACAGGATCAAATACGAGGTGTCCAGCTCACAGGTATACAGATCCAAGAAAACCACACTCCTTCCCTTATGGGCCCCTGGGCCAGCACAGGTCACATCTGTGGCCAGAAGAGGAATAGTCACTTGAGTCTGATTGATCCACCAAACAAACCACACGGCATCACAATTGCACTTGAAAGGATTGCCATGCAAAAGCAGCATCCTCAGATTGTTAATGACATTTTCAGGGAAGCTAGATTTCTTAATTATTTGGATCCTGTTTGAGCTGAGGTCCAAGTATTTCAGATTAAAAGCGCCTCTGAGAAAATGTTTGCTTAGCCGTTGAATGCGATTGTTTCGGAGCACCAGTTCTTGCAGGGTTGAAGAGCAATTGGACAGTTCTTGGGGAACAGTAACCAGAAGGTTATTGCTGAGGTCCAGAGTTACTAGTTTCTTCAGACAGTGGAGTTTTCCCCAGTTGAAACTCTTCATTTGGTTATTGGTTAAGTTGAGGATCTTGAGTTCTGGAGGCATAGCTTCAAAAACACCAAGAGGCAAAAAACTGAGCGAGTTGAAGGAAATATCCAGTTGTTCCAGGCTGGTCAGATTCTTGAAGAATGATAAGTATCTAGCATTCCCATCCATCCATAAAACATTTAAACGATTTCCTCTGAATTCTAAAATTTGAAGAGATTGACTTTCCATTCCTGTGTTAATAGTGGTAGAAATCTCATTCTCATTCATCATCAGCTTCTTCAGATGGGCCAAGTTTTTCATAAAACTAAGCACGTGAGTAACACCTTCTGCCAGAAAATAATGTTTGTTATTGCTTAGGTCTAGAATTTCTAAAAGTTTTAGCTCTTTGAAAGCAGTTGAGTATAGCAAGTCAATCCTGTTGTTAGAAAAATCCAGATATTTCAATCCAGACAAATAGTAGAATTCACTTCCATTTAAAGTTTGACTTATTGCATTACCTGACAAGTTGAGGCATCTGAGGAAACTAAGACCACGGAAGTCTGAGGGGTTAATAAAAAATATGTTGTTTCTGCTTAAATCCAGAGTTTCTCCGTATTTCAGGCACTCTTCGTTAACTGAAGATCGGTAGGAAGCAGCCTCTTTGTCTTTGGACCTGCAACTTCGCCCATACTCATCATACCTGAAATAATGCATCTCTTGTAATACTTGCCTGTTGTATTGCTCTACTGAAATCCTAGGATTAGAGCAAAATCCATAAAAGTTGCTTTCACTTGAAGAAGGAGAAATTTTATTCACTGAGAGGTCTATGAATTTAAGAGCTGGGAATTCTTTGAACACTTTCAGGTCAGCAACTTTAATAAAATTAGTCCCGAGATCCAACACTGTTAGATTTCTAAGACTGAGCAATGGATCTAGATTTCCTTCTCTCAGTTCTTTAAAGACATAACCCCTGATCCTCAGGGTTTCCAGGTTAGAGAGGGAGGAAAATGTCTTAGACAGATTCAAGGATGGAGAATACATCTGCAGTTCAAAATTAAAGGACAAATCAAGCTCTACAAGGCCAGGGATAAACTTCAAAAACTGAGCATCTCCAATCTCCTTTATGAGGAAATTTTGGGAGAGGTCAAGCTCTTTGAGATTTCTGATGTTTTTAAACCAGCTGCTGGGTATGCTCTGAAGAGAGTTACTGTGAAGTCGCAAAATTCTTAAATTTTTCAGGGAATAAAAAGCCTTTGAATGTATCTCAATTGTGCTCCTGGGGCAGGGAATACAAGGATATGGGGCATTATAGCAACGTGGGCAATTACCACTCAGATCAAGAATTTCTAGGTTGTGAAGGGCACTTAAATCTTGTTCTTGAATCACTTGAATCATGTTATTGTAAACATACAATTCCTTTAAAGTAGATGACAAATTGGGTGGAATATGAGTTAAGTTGTTAGACTTCAGGGATAGTATTGTTAATTTTTTCAGCTCCAGAAAGGCTGTTTTTTCAATTTCAAATGAAACATTGCACGGATTACGGTAGTAACAGTTCTGTCCCAGATACAATATTTCTATGTTTCCTAGCTCTGACAAATTGGCTCTTTGGATAGAAAAGATACTGTTCGCTTCCAGGCTCAGCAGACTTAAAGTAGCAGGAAGACCCTGGGGTATTTCCAACAGCTGGTTTGCATCCAAATACAATGACTTCAGTCTTGTCAGGGCAGCAAAACTGCCATTCTCAATCTCCGGTCCGCTGGTGCACACATGATCTTTGGGCCCCATTCTGACAGGCACACAGTTGCATCTGAAGTCAATCTCCACGAGGTTTTCAAGATGAGCAAAGGATGTTGGGCTGATATGGGGGATATGGTTAATATTCAGGGTAAGGTTGGTAGCGTTTGCAGGGATCCCTCTGGGGACTTCCATGAGATGCCGATCGGTGCAGTCCACTGTCACAGTGCCTTCAAAGGCATTAACATCACAGGGTAAACTTTTGGGAAACCAAGCTCCTGACAGCAGCATTGGAAATAGGAAGAGCAAGACAAATGGCAATGCATTCAACATCTTTGCACAAGGTACCTAAAAATAAGGAAATAGGGAGGTATTAATTTAATTCAATGAGAACACGTCATAGGACATCAGATCAAGCATGTACTGGGTCAGACCAAATATACAGCTAACCTGGGGTCCTGTCTCTCACACTGGCTAGAATTGATGTGCAGGTAGAATTATAAGTTTGGGGAAGGTATATGTTGGTATTTCCTCAAATGCCTTCTTTATTTTCTTATCACTAAGTATTGTAGTGTTAACATAAATATCACTCTCTAAATAATGAATCATAAAAAAAAAAAATCTACTGAAAAAATGACAAGGCAGATGGTTAAAGGCTATGTCTCTGTGAATTTTCTTTTTTTAAAGGGAACAAGTGGTGTTAAACATCCACCAGATTGCCATGGTGTAAGAGCGTAAACGAGCAAAGTTAATTTTTTGAAGCATATGAAAGATAGAGAAAATCTAGAGTCACTTAAAAGTTACTGTAAATTTTCAAAACCACACTAACAGGTGAGTGCCTAATTCAAATTTCACATTATAAGAATTCTTAGAATCATAGAATATAATCATAGAATCATTTAGGTTGCAAAAGACCCTTAAGATCATTGAGTCCAACTGTTACCCTAGCACTGCCAAGTCCCCCACTAAACCATGTCCCTAAGCACCACATCTACACATCTTTTAAATACTTCCAGGGATGGGGACTCCACCACTTCAGGAACATTGAGCCTGAAGGAACATTGAGGAACAGCAGCCTGTTCCAATGCTTGACAACCCTTTCGGTGAAGAAATTTTTCCTAATCTCCAATCTAAACCTCCCTGGGCGCAACTTGAGGCTGTTTCCTCTTGTCCTAAAACACACTTTGTTGTTTTTCACAACTAGCATAGTAAGTATGCTTCAGTGGGGATTGTTACCTGTTTAATGTGGGATATACCAAGATGTGTTAAGTTATTGAGATGCTTTAAAAATGTATGTCTTTCCCTTATCTATCTGTTGCCCCATAAAACTTTGAAGTGGTTTCCTTTGAACGCTGATTCCTTGGGAGGATTCTGCTTGGATGGTTGTCTCCACATGTAGAAAATGCATTCCAACACAAGCTAAAAACCTTCAGGTGAGAGAGATTTTCCATAAATGCCAGCTGAGATGTGAGTACTGCCTGTTGTGGCTCAAGTCTAATACTTCTAGATTTCTAATTTCTTGTAATGCAAAACCACAAGTAAAGTCCAATATACCGTTTGATAGACAGATTTAAATATTTGAAATCACATAGATTGAATTCAGTGCCATTCAAAGCCTGACTAACGCAATTTGTAGACAAATTCAATCAGGTAATTTCCCCAAAGCTTATTAACTGATCTGAGTTTAAACTGATCTGATTTAATGAATGTGAGGCTTTTGAAGCTCAGATCCAGTGCTTTGCAAGGTCAGGTATACTGTGGTCTGAGACCAGGTAAAATAAATAGTCCATGTTTTTGTCCTAGCAAGTGCATGAAAGGCTCAACTAGTCATCTTTTCACAAAGTTAAATGGATTTTTTCCCAACAAATTCTAACAGACTAGTCTTATCTTGTCATAAAGGTGATGTCTTGCAAATTAATTTGTGAGATTATTAACACTTTGAAAGATAATGAAGTTGGGTTGTTTCATAAAGTTGATCCCAGAATAAAAAAGCCTGACTTTTTAGGGAAACAGAGTTTTTGAGTGATGTTCAGATAGGTCTTCAAAAACATAACATGGAAGATTTAATCATTTTTAAGATACTGGAGAAGAAAAAGACTGTGTGAGTTTTAGATACTGTCAGTATATTTTTTTCTCAAAATTTAAAGATAACTTCATCCAGAAAGGTCAAACTCTGCAAGAATTTTTCAAAAGCTATTTCATTCCTTAAATAATTAAATGTAAGGCATAAAACAGTTCACGGGGGCATGCTATGAAGCCAGATGGCAGGTACAACAGTTAGAGAAGGGCTGGTAAGAATTCAAGTGTTTAATTTGTTAAAGGTTTTGCAAAGCCAGCAAGTGTTTGGATGCAAGTGTTACTCATGCAGGACTCACATACAAAATGAGCA